AGGCGAAACTGGGGTCCTGGTAGTTGGGGGGAGGAAGCGTTCAAGAACTAGAGGAAGGTTGTGAGTTTCATTATTGCTATACTGTACCCTAAGTAACTCATCTCCCCATTCCCCCTCTGCAAGGTATGTCCAGTTGTCTAGAGATGGGCATTGGGTTCTTAAGATGATTCCCAAGATAACTGACAAAGATCACTTAGGTCTATAAACCTGTAAATGGAAAAAATACTGGAGAGTGTAAATTCTAGGTCCTGTTCTTTCCCTCTTCCTTTTTCTCCAAATGTTCTCTTACCTTAGTTCTTCCGTGATCTTTTATCATGTATTTACTCCCTATTTATAGTTCTCCTTCTCATTCATTTTTCTCTTTCTCCCTCAAAATAGCACACCTGCCGAGATCTCATTTTTCTAAGATGAATATAGCCACAAGCCAATCAACAAATGTTATTTCCTGAATGCTATTACCACATGGCTCTTAGCGTGCAGCAAGGAAAGGCATTTTCCAGTGACATTAGTGGGAATCCCCCTTGCTGTAGGTCAACACTTGCAAAATATTGGCAACATCCAAAGCTTCAATATATGATCTCTATATGGATAGGGATTGCGTAGATAGTCAGACAAATAAGTAGGCTGGTAGACTGATAGGTAGATGGAGATGTAGGACAGAAAGAAACAAGACTTACATTAAACTGAGCCTGAAATGTGTACACCTTACCATGGGCCGAATAAATGGCTATGCAAAAGAGGTTCCTGTAGAGATTGATGGGAAAGGAGTGGACAGCAAGTCAAGGCTCGTTTGAAGATCAGACGATGGTGTTGGGAGGGCACGGAAAGAAGACAGGCAAAGCTGAAGCACAGAAATGACAGATGATAAGGTTCATACAGATAGGTTTGAAATATGGCAAGACTAAATTGATATTTTACTTTATTTAAGGAAGTCATTAAAAGAAATTGTTTAGTGGCTTAATTAGTTTTATATTTTGAAAAGATGACTGAAGTGAAAAATGTATATTCAAAATTAATAAACATGGGTCAACCCAGTTCAGCCAACTATTCTATTTTAAAGAAATGTTAACCTGAAACCAAGAGGTATGCAATATGTCCAACATATTGCATAACTGATAACATCCACTTTTGTTGATGTTTTTCGTTCATTTTTTAAAATGAAGTATAAAAATAATAAATAAATAGATTAAGTGAAGTTCCACAATATCAACAACTTAGTAAAAATTCACTCGACATCTATTTCTTACTGAGGATGTATCTCTCCCCAGGTGTTTCTCTAGGTCTTGTCATTATAGCAACCCTTAATGCTTCTCCTCTTAAGGAGTATACCTTTTATTCACATACGGATAGAGAGTTGCTGTGAATCAGAATTGACTCAATACCAGTGAGTTTGGGAGGGATACATAGATAGTAATAAATTATCGGAAGGGGGGCGGGGGAATTACTGAGAGTAGGTAGTGATGAGTAAACACTAGTTTATGTAGGGGGTTGGGAAACATTTTCTAATCAGGGAATATATGAACATGGACTTTCAGAAAATGCTTTGAGGCAGCTTGTGCATAGGTCAAACCAGAGCTCCTTATGAAGCCAGAACAAAACAAACATTCTGAGTCTGGAACACAATCACTGGTTGAGCTATGGCAAATGTCACCGGAGTGATATTCCTAAGGACGGGTATTAGCTAACCATCAAAAGACCCCTAGAATTAGTTATGAAAATATTTTCCTCCATTTCACTTAAGAAATTGCATTTGCAGTGTAAACTCTTGTGTGTATTCTTTCATCTACTCTTCCTGGATAGATCTTCTTAGTCCTACTTGAAAGGAAAGCAAACCTAGTCTCTGAAAGTTAAGCTGTCTTGACCAACAAACCGGCGGATGCTTCTGGAGGTGGAACTCAGGAACAGACTGTTGGAATTGATGTCCGGCACAGGTTATCAGACCAAAGCCTCCTGAACCCGTAGAGCTGACCAGTGGCAACCGAAGATAGTGATTCAAGGCAAAGGATTCTAAGAAATGAGGTCATATCTTTTATGCCAACTTAAGTGGCTGTATCTCTTACTGGAAGGCGTGAAAATAAATGAAGAAGAGGCGCTGAAGGTCCTCTAAAATATCTGGGATGAATGGGCCTCTCCACTTGATTTATGTGCTCTCTCTCCCGACTCTGAGTGAGTCACCATCTAAGAGGGATCAAAATAGAACACCACAGCTTCATGGATGACCAAAAATGCGTCCTATTTAAACAGTATGTTTTTCATACCTATGAGGCCTTTGTATACTCTGGTGTGTACATCGGTTTCCATCAAAGATTACTATGAATTTTCCAAGATAATGGTCTTAATCTATGTTGCTTAATTGGATTTGCTTGAGCTTTTTCATACTCTTGGTTTGGTAATGCCCCCTCTGTATGCAGCACTCTCATTGTTTTTTCTTGTTTGAGGAATGATGTCATTTACTATGGACTATAATTAAGCAGCTATAGGGTGCTACCTGACAGAAAGTACATGCATTAAAAAAAATAACAGGAGCAGCGCTACTGAGACATTGGCAGTTGAAACAAGTAGTACTGGAAACCAAAAAATGCAAGGAAAAGGATTTGACAAGTATGATTTTAGCAGCAGCTGTGTGGACCAGCATGGTAGATATTATTCCAAAAAGCATGCTTTTGGAAAATGATTCCTGGCACTAATACCTTAACACCTTTCAATACACTTCAATGGCTGCCCCTTGTCTCATTCATTTTGATCATAATTGGTAAGTTACTTCCTGCCTATGCCCGTGGAGGGCTTACTTTACACGTTGGCAAATCTGAAAAAGCAAGTGAATAAAGGAGGAAGGGAAAAACGATCACTAGTGGAGTTGCTACTTTTTGCTCATAATACTTTTGTAGATTATCATTTGAGTTTGCTCACCTTGAAAACATAATGGGCGTGAATAACCTTTCCAGGTCATTTTAGCAAGAGAAGAGTGGACTCGCTGCCATTGAGTCACAGTGACCGCCTGTGGGTTTCTGAGACTGTAACTGTTTATGGGAGTAGAAAGCCCAGTCTTTTTCCCAAGGAGCTGCT